ACTTTCAACATTTTTTTATTTAATGTAGCTTAAATAAATTGTTTGCCACCACTTACCTTAAAAAAAAAATTTGCATCATTTTTTTCAGTGCATTAGGATTGAGTGGTTTTAACAAGCCACCAATAGAAGGAGACCGAGACAGTACAGTACTGTACAGTTTCCATTAAAACCAGTACAAGTCCCATTATAACCAGTAAAACCATTACAAATTCTGTGATGGTTTCTATTGGGGGTTTTTTTTCAGCAGGGTGTTGTTTGGAGGATTTTCTGTCAAATTTTTAGTGTTCTTGTCAGTAGTGTGTAGGTTGCATATTTTAGTAGGCTATGCTTTTACATTTTATCTCACAATTATTCTGTATAGCACTCTAGCACTCTCTATTCTAATTCTATTCTTTAAAAAAAACACTAGCTTCTCTATTCTTTTTTGTATTCTGTTTGTTATCTTTTTATTTATTATGCAATTAACAAAAAGCAAAAAAAAAGCCTCTAGTTTGCTCTATGCTTTTTCTGTTCTATCTGTTTTCTTTTTATTTATTATATAGCTAATTTAAAAAAAAAAAACTTGCTATGTGTACTGCGTTAAGCTTACTGAGACTTGTCATAGCACTTGCATATCATTGCTCTTTTGTTGATTTTGATTGCTTCTATTGTAAGTCTGCTAAATGACTAAATGTAATGTAAATGTATAACAGACCGGCGGTGGTTTAGTTGCAAGTCTACATTAGATGTTTTCCGTCAGTCATTCGCAAGGGGGCGATGCAGGGCTTCATTGCTCTCCATCTGCAAATCAATCAGAGGTGCGATGATGGACATAAACTTTGAGGCGTTAGTGTTCGTTACTAAACACATCCTCGCCTTTGTTCCCTGCCTAACATTGTGCATTCTGCTGACATGTAGTCTCAAAAATTGCCAGAAAGATCCGCTCGCCTCTTTTCCACATCTCATTCTCTCTCTCTTTCCTTGTGTTTGTGTGTTTATGCGTAAGCGATGCTTTTTAAAGATGTTGAATTGACAAAAAAGAAAAGAAAAAAAAGCATTTATTCCGAACGGAATTATGTCTCGCGCCGTCGGCACAGATTGCACGTTTCATATTTCAACACGGTGAACAGCTGTGAGACAAGATGCACTTTTACGCAATTCAAAATTAAAATCGCCTTTGGGAAGATTTGTTCATCTCTTTCGTGCGGTTTCTATTGGGGTTTTTTTTTCAGCAGGGTGTTGTTTGGAGGATTTTCTGTCAAATTTTTAGTGTTCTTGTCAGTAGTGTGTAGGTTGCATATTTTAGTAGGCTATGCTTTTACATTTTATCTCACAATTATTCTGTATAGCACTCTAGCACTCTCTATTCTAATTCTATTCTTTAAAAAAAACACTAGCTTCTCTATTCTTTTTTGTATTCTGTTTGTTATCTTTTTATTTATTATGCAATTAACAAAAAGCAAAAAAAAAGCCTCTAGTTTGCTCTATGCTTTTTCTGTTCTATCTGTTTTCTTTTTATTTATTATATAGCTAATTTAAAAAAAAAAAACTTGCTATGTGTACTGCGTTAAGCTTACTGAGACTTGTCATAGCACTTGCATATCATTGCTCTTTTGTTGATTTTGATTGCTTCTATTGTAAGTCTGCTAAATGACTAAATGTAATGTAAATGTATAACAGACCGGCGGTGGTTTAGTTGCAAGTCTATTATTTGTAGCGCAATCTTATGATTTTAAATTATTTGTTGCAGTCTTTTTTTAGTAGAATTCCCAAACCGGAAGTGCCTCCCATATTTTAAAACACATAAGTAGTCTAGTTAGGAAAAAGGTGGATATGACGAGACACTATATGTTTATTTTCTTGACAGTTATTCTATTGTTGGCTAAAAGGCTAAAAAACAAATGCGCACACAATTGTTTTGCATGACGTGGATTGTATGCTCGTAAATATGGCGATCGGTCGCTTGTGTCAGAAACGTTCTGCTCTTCAGTATTAAGTTATAGTCCATTAGTACACATACACACCGTGTGATAGAGGCGAACTCTCTCCTCGTGTCGTGCCAGAATGAGTGCGTTGATTTGCAGAGGGCGAAGTGGAAAGATGAGTGGATACGTGAGAAAATTGCGCCCATTTTTCCCGCCCATGTTCATTCATTTGCGCGGTTCTCTGAGAAATAGAAAGCGCGCGCTTTAGCAGCCCGCCAAAATCACCTGCCAACTTCAATACTGCACGAGCCGCGGGATCACAATGGAAACGAAACCAACGGAGCATTTATTTCGATGGTCCAAAAATATGTATCCATGAAGGCAATTTACTTAGAAAATGTGGTAGAATTCTGAAATGCTTTTTCTGTTCTATCTGTTTTCTTTTTATTTATTATATAGCTAATTTAAAAAAAAAAAACTTGCTATGTGTACTGCGTTAAGCTTACTGAGACTTGTCATAGCACTTGCATATCATTGCTCTTTTGTTGATTTTGATTGCTTCTATTGTAAGTCTGCTAAATGACTAAATGTAATGTAAATGTATAACAGACCGGCGGTGGTTTAGTTGCAAGTCTACATTAGATGTTTTCCGTCAGTCATTCGCAAGGGGGCGATGCAGGGCTTCATTGCTCTCCATCTGCAAATCAATCAGAGGTGCGATGATGGACATAAACTTTGAGGCGTTAGTGTTCGTTACTAAACACATCCTCGCCTTTGTTCCCTGCCTAACATTGTGCGTTCTGCTGACATGTAGTCTCAAAAATTGCCAGAAAGATCCGCTCGCCTCTTTTCCACATCTCATTCTCTCTCTCTTTCCTTGTGTTTGTGTGTTTATGCGTAAGCGATGCTTTTTAAAGATGTTGAATTGACAAAAAAGAAAAGAAAAAAAAGCATTTATTCCGAACGGAATTATGTCTCGCGCCGTCGGCACAGATTGCACGTTTCATATTTCAACACGGCGAACAGCTGTGAGACAAGATGCACTTTTACGCAATTCAAAATTAAAATCGCCTTTGGGAAGATTTGTTCATCTCTTTCGTGCTATTTGTATAGGTTTCGCTTTCTTGCCGAGTTATGCATCTCTGAAGCATCTCATCTATATTAGCACATCCATGTGTGGATGAATAACTCAAGAAAACTTGTAGTGAATGCAAAATAAAAGAAGTAGGTACGCCAACTTTTGGCACCGTTCTGTGCGCGTAAAAGACGCGCTGGAGCTTGTTTGACCTGTTGGCGTTTATTCGCACGTTCGTCGCGAGCGCGAGAGAGAACGAGACGCAAAGTCTACACTGAGCGTGCGCTTCGGAGTGAGAGAGAGAGAGAGAGAACGCAACACAGTTTCTTTTTTAAACACCAAACGGGCGCGGTAATGAGGGCATTAGGCGAGAACGCCAGCTGACAGCACAAGTTTGCACTGTTCCCACGCCAACTTTTCACCTCCGTGAACCTGCGAATGGATGTGCGCTTCACTAATGACAAGGACTTCAAGAGCTGAACCTCCTTGGCTGCCTTAATAACTCCGAGAGCGCTGGTTTGTGCTCGCAGTCAGTTACAGAGTTCGTTCCTCTCGGATGTTTTCTGCTTGGTGATTTGTGTCCGGTTTATGTTTGCTCAACGGGACTAGTGTTCGCGAACGATGAGGCTGCTCTGCTGGAGCGTTCTGCTGTTCATCCAATGGATTCTGAGAAAGGTATGAAGCACGTTTCTGTGAGTTTAGCATCTGGAAATGTGACACAAATAACGGCGCAACAATAAAACGAGCGTCTCTGTGAACTTGCAGATCAGTGTGTGCTGCGTTCCAAATCAGAACGCGTTAAAGTACTTGCGCGTAAAGTGATAGTTTTTGCGCTGTTCTTTCAAAATAAAATAAAAATAAAATAAAAAAAATAACCATGAAGCAGAAAAATCACAGGTGGTGAGCTCGAAAAGCTGAATCTACTGAAATCTACTGTGAATTTAATATTATGAGTATATAGGTTCACATAGCGTATTAAATATTCAAATCTAGTATCACATATGTGACTCTGGAGCACAAAACCAGTCAAAAGGGTCAGTTTTATGAAATTGAGATTTATGCATCATCTGAAAGCTGAATAAATAATCTTTCCATTGATGTATGGTTTGTTAGGATCGGACAATATTTGGCTGAGAGAAAATCATCTTTAAAGTTGTTCAAATGAAGTTCTTAGCAATGCATATTACTAATCAAACATTAAGTTTTGATATATTTACGGTAGGACATTTACAAAATACCTTCATGGAACATGATCTTTACTTAATATCCTAATGATTTTTGGCATAAAAGAAATATGTATAATTGTGACCCATACAATATATTGTTGGCTATTGCTACAAATATACCCCAGCGACTTAACACTGCTTTTGTGCTGCAGAGTCACATATGAATTCACGTACTGTATCTAAAGTGCATGTATGCGTGTGTGTGTGTTTTAGAGAAAATAGAGCTAGAGGTGTTGGGATGTGCATCTGTCTCTTGGAAGCAATTTTAAATTGATACCATATGCACATATTGGAAAATACTACTTAACACATCAATTAAAATATAATTTCTCTGATTATACTCATGCAGAATTATGTCAGTGTAATATATATGAAAGTCTCTCATAAACAGGCATCTATGTGAGCAGTTACACCCATATCGCTGTCAGACGCTGACCCTCATCTTCACTTCATGCTGGCTTTGCAGTGGCCTGATGTGAAGAATACAGCTTTTTAATTTCACATTTCTGCATCATGCTTAAGAGAACAGTTTCCTTGCAGCTGTTTAGAAACGACAAAATCCTGCTGCTGATAATAACATCAGAGCGTTAATGTGACAGCAAAACAGCTTTCTGATGGCTTACCTTGAAATAAAACATTTTATGACGAAGTTTCATCATCGGATGTGAACAAAAACGAGTCTTTCTGACAACTTGCAGCTTGTCTGGAGACTTAAAAAGCATTTTTTATCTCGAAAAGGCTACACTTTCCTGTTTATGATCCGGTTCGTCATCACTTTTCTTCAAACCATCACAGTTATTCACTGAGGAATCAAATACACAATCAGCTGCTTAAATCACACACACACACACTCTCACACACACACACACACTCTCACACACACACACACACACACACACACACACAGAGAAAAAAGTCGAGTTTTGGGGTTGGGCGAGTGCATTTTTTTATAAAGCACGCAGCATCTTATTGATGATCCCATTACTTCCCTCTGTAAGTGTGATCATGTCATAATGACCCAACAGTAAATCGCAGTCATGTATCACAGTCGAATCTTTAATGCTTGCACAGCTCCGCTTTATTAATGTCTTTATTCTCTTCTCCACATTTGTTCAATATAATCAAATTTTTTAATGTGACTCATTTTTAGGCATCAAAGATCCATACCTCACGCTTTATAAGTGGAATGATTATTAAAGCATATTTTACTTTAGCCTACATTTTTATGGCAGCGCGCGTCGAGAGGTTGAGATCTACAGCGGTTCGCTCTTAAGCTCATCTCTTGATGTTTGTTCCCACAATGCAACTTGTGCGTATGAAATTGCACGTATTTAAGCTGGTTTTTAGGGCCCATCACATGTCATAAGTGTGCTCAGCGGAACGGTGTGTTAGTGCGTTGTGAAATGAATGCTGTCTTATCCGCTCCTAATAAATGGATCCAATTTACAAAGCTGTATTCACAAAAAAAAAGTTGCATCAGCAGGAGGTTCTTCTCACCCTCTCGTTCAAACCCCACCCGCTTACTTGTGTAATCCATCATATTAATGATAAAAGCAATCGTATTACTGACTCCAGCCAGAGTGGTGCCTTTATTTCTGGATTTCATGTCTCATCTTTGATGATTGATATGATAAGAGGATATTGTGTTGCTATTAAAGAGCATGTCTTTACATGCAGGCTTTATTTTTGCCCTTTTATTGTGCAGTTTGTGCAGTTTTGTCGCTCTGATTGACAGGTGATGCATCTGAGTGTTATTAGATTGCAGGTTGTGTGTGGTTAATGCATGCTAAAGATGTCATGCATATGTGTGCGTTTTAACATGCATTCATTAAAAACAGTGCTATTTTGTTGGAAATTGATTTTAAAGGATCTCAGCGGATGTTAGTGCTGTGTTTTGTGGTTTTAGAGTTATTCCCTATAATGATGTTGTGTCAGCTGATTGACAGTGTCTTGAGGTTAATGAATACTGTAAATAAACGGCTCTCCGTTGACTGAAGGCTGCAATTAAAGTGAATTATTGGGGAAGCCCTGCGCTGTGGTTTTCATATTGACGCGGCAGTGGATTTGTCTCACTTAAACCGTGTCCTAACCAGGCGCGACACGACTAGAAGTAATTCATCTGTCCAAGCTGAAAGCCAATGACTAATGTGTCATAGAGCGCAACAGTGACGGTACACTTAAATTCGCTCATGAATAAATTTATATATATTTGATATAAAATAAAACTAGTTGTTTTAAGCCATTTCTTATAAGAATAAAATATAACAAAATTTATACAATTGAAAAACATTGAATATTTACAACTATAAGGTATTTATTGAGTGTTTGTAGACTCAATGACATCAAACGCAGTGCTTCACTGTCACTGTTGTGTTCTATATATGGTCATGTGGAACAGGATTCTAGACCAATGAGAGCTGACTGTGGGTGGAGCCAATCATGTGTGTCCCAAACAAAATGTTTTGTCACTCGAAACAATAAATATTTACTATTAATTATTATTATTATTATGCAAGATAAAATAACATTTAGTAAGATAAGTATACAAATATACGGATAAATCTGACAGATGCCATTCAAACATACATCAATATCTTTCTTGGAAATAAAAAAGAAGGAATTATCTTTGAAAATGTACATTTATGCATGTAAATCTGGCCAGAAATAGTTGTAAACTTAAAATAAGAATTTCAGAGTCATGCATTTTTTTTGGCTTATACAGACATGAAAAGTCAACCTAAAATGCTTTGCAATAAACAAATGGATAATAGTTTCTTCAAACTGATGACAAAAAGAGCACTTTTTAATTAATTAAATGTGATTAAAATGAGCTAATGCAGCACAACTCGTAACCGTTTTATTGCAAGCTAACTTGCATTTAAATTTGTGAAATATGCAATTAATGCATTTGTCTTTTTGACAGCATGAACTGAATTTGAGCAGCAGATTTCTGGTTCCCAGCATGCTTTGCTTCAGACTGTATGTGTAGAGTAAAGTGTTGATGAAAATAGGTTTTTTGCCTGATTATAAATATGCTGTTTGTTGCTTTATTTGAGAAATTAGGGTTATTACCGTTAACTAAAACTATTTTAAAAAAATTGTTACAGCTGAAATAAAATACACATATTAGATGAAAAAAAAAAAATAGAAATGTTGCCTTGGAAACCAACTGAAATACACTTAAGTTTTAGCACTAAAATGACTGAAAATAAACTGGAAAATGGAAATAAATAAAAACTAAAACGGAAATAAAAATAAATGAAGCTTAAATAGTAACATTAACAAAAAAAAACAAAAAAAAAACAAGAAAAATAACAAAAGTGCAGCACCATTACTAAAAATAAACCAAATGAAAACTGAAAATATAAAAATATACGCTAATTCTGATTTTAGTGTTTTTAAATATTCTCTTAAAACCCACTTGTTTAAAGTAGATTTTATGTGATATTTTATGTTTTTATTTTATATGATATTCTTATGAAATTGTTCAAATGTTTTTTTTTTTTGTATTTCAATGCATTTTTTTTTTTGCAAAGTGCTTTTAAAGGTGCTATTAAAGTAAAGTGTATATTACAAAAAAAATAGTATACAAAATATTAATAAAAACTATAATAGTGTAAGTAATACCTTTATTAAAGAGGATAGTTATAGTATACATATATATTTGATTCCACTAAAAAAATTATATGTATTAAAATGAACATTCAATATAAGCTCAATATAACTGTAGTAAACCTTTAGTTAGCAACATGTGACCCTGGAGCACAAAACCAGTCATAAGGGTAAATTTTTCGAAATTGAGAT